TAAATCTTCAGCAGCAGAGTTTATGCACTCGAAGCAAGTATCGTTCGAAGAGTCGCCTCTGCAGAAACCGAGCACGTAAACAACGTCCGAGCCGTTCCCTATGTTCCCAGAGTAGAACCAGCCATTCGAAGCCATTTCGCTAGGCAGGGAAGAGAGGACGAGCTCACGGTTCTTGGCATAGTTGCTGGTGGCCGTGAAGTTGCCCGTGTCATAGCAGTGTTGAGCGTTGGAGAGTTCAAACGTTAGGATGGGAAGACAGAGAAGGACAGAAGGAAGACGACGAAGGAGAAGAAGAAGGATTGAAGGAGGCTGTGCAGACATGGTGGTAGCTGGCTGCTTCAGCTCCATTGTTGAAGATGAGACGCATGAGTCGTCCCCTGGGGAAGTCGTGGCTGGAGTTTGGTAATGCCTGGATCAAAAAAGTGGTTGATAGAGATTGAAGTAGATGGGAACAACAGAGGGAGAAGACCATGTCAAAGCGCGTTTGCGTGACAAACACAAAATCAAGGAATTATGCAAATGCAAATGCAAACGCTAACCCTTGACATACCACGGGGGTGGCTTGAATGGCACGGGCTACTATTCCACAAACGCGAGGTCACTCTCACAGAGGCTAAAATTGTTCGTGGGAGCATCGCGTGCATCTAGCTTAATGCGGATGAGTTTTGGAATTTCGGCACCGCGGTGGGCTGCATCAATCTCGGACTTCTGGATCACGAATAGAGAGTAGATCATGGATTTGGCGGCCCGTGGGTCTCGCCCAGGCCCGGTCGGCCCAAATGGCAACATGGGCATGTCTAAGAATATACATATCGACACAAATTGCTCGATCCGTTGCTTCTTACTTTCGCGTTCTCGCCTATGTTTGCTTAGCCATACCCAGTGGCCGCTACCTCCATGGTGGTCAACCCCACCAGAGAGAGAGAGTTTGTGATTTAAAGTCCTCGATTCCCTCTCTGCAAGTTCTTTCTAAAGGATCAGTGTTTCTTGCTTTTGCTGTTGAGTATTGTATTGCAATGAAGAACTGTATTTTCCTCATCTTTCGCTGCTTCATCATGTTTTGTCTTACCTTAAATTGGGTGTGTACAACTCAGTAATGGGCCCTGTTCCTTCGATGCAGTCCTCTAAACCTTTTTCCAGATATTTGGCCTTTTTAGAGCTATTAATTTTGCCTAGGCTTAATTCATTGGATAGTATGGGCGTCTTGTAATCTTTTCTGGGCTCGACACGAATGGTGGATCTTTGCGCAGCTCGTTGAGACCGGTGTCAGAAGTTATTTGGGATCATCTCTGGTTAATTGTTATTGTCGGTCTGATCCATCCTTTTGCATGGTTCGAGATCTTTTTTGTTATGTCTAGCACAATGTCTCTTCTGCCCATTTAAGGCAATGGGAATCGCAACTTTAGGAAGTGACAGGTTAGTCTGGTGCCGTTGTGCGGGCTTGCGCATAAGGATGGAAGGCGGGACTTGGGCTGTATCGATGTTGATCGCATTAATTCTTCTGTTTTGGGAGATTTACGAGCAAACGGTTTTCATGTTTTTCTAAGCTGTGGGACTCGACATGGGACCAAAAAGGGACTCTTGTGGAGCAGACATTTTTTCTCATGGCATGTTAAGTAGTTTCCTTCCATTGTTCAACATTTTAAGGCAAGAAAGTTTGTCTGAGAGTTATAAGTCTCTTCCATTGCTTCTCTTCCCTGTAACTTATATTTCGGTCCTCTTACTTATTTCCCCCCTTTTCAGTTAGAAAAGGTCTTGCAAAAGCTATGCTTCTTTCACTCTTCTTTGCTGGGCCTAAAGTGCTAAAACTGTAGTCAAAATGTTCAATTAACCTACAAATTCCTTGGAAAACATCTTAAATTGATTATATCTTTTGCTTCCAATTGCAGGTGCCCCAGACATTTTTGCTAATATGTGGCCTTCATTGACTTGGTATATGGATATCTGTAAACTGTAAAGAACAATATCTTCGTGGACTTCACCGCAGACGGAGAGAGTGTAAAAAAGGTATGCATGATTTGCGTTCCATTTATGTTACAAAAAATTTTCTATTTTGGGTCAATTTTCAATTTCACGCGTAAAAAAAAAAGCCACTTTCTTAGTCCATCAAAGGCAAACCATCCATACTAGGATTAGGGGATTCACGAGAAATTGCTTTCTTGTATTCTGGTTCGAAGTAGTTGGTCGAGTAAGAACCGAATTTGTAATCTCACTTTTCTTGAGGCACGAGATCTCTTTCGCTGCGCTAGTCACATCAATGGCTGTCGTTCTAACCAAATTACGCAAGACTTAGAGCAAGGCAAATTTAATCTTTCTCGACTTTCTTTTCAAACTCAAGGTAATAGCTATCAACTGAAAATACCAGACAAAACTAGCGGAGCCAAGCTGCCAAATGCTAGCAATTGTTGCAGATCATGTCATTGTTGTTTAAAAATAGATGGAAGAAAGTCATCCTGTGAATTTCCCCTCTAGCAGCCATTACTAGAACGATATTGTACAGCTGAACACTTCCATGCAAGACAGAAAACGTGCTAACTTTGGCAAATTATCTAAGACTAAATGCATTTAAACAGGATCAATCTGTTTTAACCTCTCGGAAAGGTTCTTATACAATATTTTAAGGAGGGAAAAAAGAAATTGACATAATCTCGTCGACCTTGCCGGCCCTTGCCTCTGGCCGATCGCCCGAGGAAGAAGGGAAGGAAAAAAAAAAGAAAGAGAAAGAAAAGAAAAAAAAATGAAAAATAAAAAATAAAAAAAAAGTAAATAAAAATTTGAAAAATTATTAAAATATTATTAAAAATTATCCATATCAGTACTGGGTGCGCCACGTAGGATGGCCGGCGTCTATGTTAGCGATTTCCTGTCAAAATTGACCATCCACGTAGGATGGCCGGCGTCTATGTTAGCAATTTCTGTCAAAATTGACCAAAAAAAGGGTTTTGGACTGTATTGGGTTTATGACTTTTTTTAATAATTTTCTTTGTCCACGTGAGTCCGTTGTTGTAGATTTTGCCTTCTGTGACGACACGTTTATCTTTGTCTAACACCAGTCATTACGATTCCGCATATACTTTAAACAATTGGTACGAAGGTCTAGAGTATAAGTTTATATATAAACGATGATAGAGATTGGAGTAGATTAGGACAACAGCGAAAGGAAACGACAGGATCTTCGAAGTTTACTTTTTCCTACACGGATTCTTAATGGCCCTGGTCAAAGAATATCGTGTGCTGTGGCTTCTTCTCAAAATTTAATTATTCACCCGCAGAAAAATTATTTAAAAAATTATAAATCTATTTTACTTTTGTCAATTCAGTCTCAAAGCTTTCAATTTTGTCAATTTAGTCATAAATTTTATGTTACGTTTTACCAATTGAGTCAATCTAGCAAATTTTAATTGAAAGTTGCTAACGTGGACGCCGGTAGTGCCACGTTAAACGATCGATGCTAACGTTGACAATAGTTAATAATATTTTAATCTTTTTTCAAAATTTTTAATTATTATTTTCTTCTTTTTTCTTTTCTTTCTTTCTTTTTCTTTTTCTTCTTCCAAGTCCAGCCACAAGTGAGGGTTGCAGCCCTCTACCAGATCTTGTGACCTTTGCCCAAGACTGGTGAGCTATGTAGCACGGACACGTTCAAGAGCCTGACGTGTCGGTGTCCGACACGTGACACGTGTCTGACACACTCCAACACGTTCAGACACGCAGTCAATAGGTGTCGAAAATCCAACACGCGGTCAACGCGCCAAACATGCCATCGACACGCGAGTCCAGAATCCCGACACGCGATTCCGACACACACGAGGTTAATTTTATAAATTTTCAAAAAATTAGGGGTCAAAATGTAAATTTATTTATAAAAAAAAAAAGAAAGAAAAGGGTGAAAAAAAATCATAGTCTTCTATTATCATCTTAACAGTGCCTTCACTTGCGCTCTATACTCCCTCCCCCTCTTGATTCGCGATTTCTCTTCTTCGCTCGAACTAACGATATCCGCCGAGGAGGAGGCCTTGGAGAGGAACACTGATTGCGTCTATTTCCTCACTATTTCTCATCTTCTTCCTTCACATCCTCCAAGCTCTAAACCCTCGAATCCCCACCCTCAGACCCTGAGCCTACCACCACCCTCCTCCGTTTCGTGGACCAAGAACCCCTCTAGCAGACGACTCCTCCTCCTCGCCCCCGCCCCCCCCCCCCCCCGGGGTGCGCCATTATTTTTTTTATTATTAATTTTTCCAAGACACAAAGTAAATTCTAGGCTTTTTATTATTATTTATTTATTTGTTGATTTAAATCAAATTTAAAAATAATAATTTATCAAATATAAATATATATTTAATAATACTTTGACAGCGATGTCGACGGCAAAAGCCTTGAGATGCAAGTCACCTGGGTGGTGGGGGACGGCGGAGCTATGAGGACGGAGAGATGTGTTTTGCGATTTTTGTCATTTTGGCTAGAAATTGGTGTATCAGTGTATTTTCGTTTTTCTGGTTCATGTTTTCTGTTCATGTTATGATGACACATTGCTAATTAAAAGCTTCATGAATGATTGAATGTGGCCAAGCAGCGGCATTAACGCGCATCGCTGGAGAGGCAGGCCGGCGCTCCATAGCTCATTAGCAGAGGCCGTCCGGCAAAGGCGGGTGGCGGATGCTAACCCTATGAAATAAGAAAATCAACTCTGTTTTTCTTAGTTGTGCTATTTCCCTACACTCCATTGGGAGAAGATATCGGCACATCATATTGATATGTAGTGTGGAGCGACATAAAAAAAATGGCTTTCGGAGATTATATTAGATCGTGAATACAAGTTATTTTGGAGGAGAGAGAAGCTAATAAATTACTTGAATAGCTTGATTTGTACGTCATGTTAGATGATGAAGTAATATATGCAATTCTAAAGTATTTTCCTCAAAAAACGGACTCTTTAGAGCAAATTGCATCTATCAAAAGCTTGAATTTAAAGGTCAATTGGTCCATGTGCTGTGTAGGGTGTTCCATGGATTTCCAAATAACGTGTCCATGAGTCTATATCCTCATATTATAAAAATAAACAAGAGTTTCCATTCTATTTTTAACCTTTCCAACGCATATTCTCTGGTTAAATTTCTGACGAACTTGCCAAGAGTCCAGACCTTTCAAAAGCATAAACTTATCTTAACTACAGTTTGCATCATCTTACTTCCAACTTCAGCTTTGATCCTTCGGTAATAATATCATCTAGGGTGTGGATCCGTCATGGAAGCTTTGTTTATTGATGTCGGTGATGAGCGATGAACAGCGGCAGTCGACATTTCTCTACCACTGGCATCTGTCAAGTATGCAGGCCGTGTCGGCATTGGGAGGCTCGTGCTCTCGCTCCTGAGCATCAAAACCACCGAAGCCATGGTAGGCCGTCTCGCTACATTCTCTTGGACACATAACAATGCAATCTGGATGCATATCAACATTTCGCTTCTCGAACTGCCATTTACCATCGGATCTATAAGGTGAAAAGGTGTTCCATTTCTCCAATTTTTCCATGCCTGTAGTGCACAGTTGCGAAAGCAAGTAAATGGGGTTTTGTAATTTCACATGCGCAAGTAGAAGTATTATAGATTTTCACTAACTAATTTGTTGGACAAAACTCCACGATTTTATACTCACGTTGTCACACCCCAAACTTAACAAGAATAAGGGCATGACACGGCCATCCTTTCTCAAAAGGACGCAGTCTAAACATAACCAAAACTCACCTAATATCATAATATATGCATCCACATATATATACATGATATAGAGTTTATCTGGTTATAATATCAGAGTTAACTACAATCCATCAAAAGGCCAAAAGCATAACCAGCAATAGGCTAAAACTTAAACTCCACATCTATGTGTAACTCGTACCAAAAAGTCCCAACTATCAAAATGTCCTCCCCGACACCGGAACTCTCACGCCTACTAGCGTCTCGGTGAAGAACCTGAAAAACAAGTAAGATGAGAGGAATGAGCTATCACGGCTCAGTGAGTAATACATTTCTTCTAAGTAGATCGAGCACCACCCACTATGCACACGGTTATAAGACCAAACGAAAGCCCAATTAACCCAACTCCAACATATCACAAACTTCAACGTCAAAATACGTTATATACCACTTTAAAAATAACCTTTTCACAATACGAAATCTTGTTTTAATTAATAATATCAAAGAAGAAACCAATGATCAATTCCATTGCCCAATCTCGTCGAAAAGCACACGCCAATGGTCAATTTCATTGGCCAATCTCATGCTTAGAAATCTAAGTATGATCACGGATAACGCCCCGTGAAAGGCGACCAAGATTCCCCCCTTGGCAAGGTCTTCACCTACTATAAGCCGGTGGCTCGGCTCACAATGATATCCTAAACTAGTATGCGCATACCCACAACCCCTCATTTGGGTTCACAGAGACACTGAGCATCAAAATCCACATCCTCCCATACCAGCAAATCCAATCCACAATCAAAATCACCAATATTCAGAAATCATTTCGCAAACGGGTATATAACCCTTTAAAAATCACATTCAAACCCAAGAACTCCTCATAAGTCTTTCACAAATGGTTTCACAAACCCTTTTACATTCCATAAGTTCAAACCGAAACCAAAAGGAATCTTCTATTTCAAATACACAAAATGGCAGTAAATGCTCGATCCAGTTTTTTATGCAAACAAAATGCCAATTCTTATATGATAACATATCTATAACATCTCATTTTCTAAACTTGAGCTTATAAATTCAAAGAAGAAATAATACCACTCACCTTGAAAAGCTGAAAAACTAACCTACAGCGGTTTCTCGAGCCGACGCACTCGAATACCTAACAATAAGTCGAAAAACGGTATCAAAACCGAGTAAAATATTACTTCAACTACGACTTGGCTCAACTAGGCTTAGATGCTAATATAACGACTAAAAGACGACCCCAAATCACTCGTCCAAAGCGATTATCCAAATTCATCCACGACGCGGAACTTGAGTGCGAAACTTGATTGCACCATAACTTTCTCCACTAAATTCCGTTCTAAGCGAACTTATAGTCAAGAGAAAGCTTATTCAGAGTAATACAAGAACCCAACTTGGCCGTCCTAATATTGAGCCGAAAATTGACAAAAACCGGCTTAAAAACCACTGATCGCGCACTGTTCACTGCACGCACTCAACTTCAAAAATTCATATCCGGCAAACCGTAAGTCCAAATCAGGTTCCGTAAAATCCCACGGCCTCGCAACACCCTAAACTACCAATTCTATAAAAATACGTAGCTCTACGACTAAAAAATCTGATTTCGCCGCTCGAATAACACATAACTCCGAATTACGAGCCCTAACCCGAAAAATATTCCGATTAATTGAACGAGGGGTGCGAATACTTACGGAGCGTTGCGTTACAAAGTCAAATCGACTTAGCGAGACCTCCACGGTGCAAAGCCCTCTTCTCTTTTCTCTTTTTCTTCTTCCTCTTTCCTTTCCTCTCCTTTCTCCTCTTTTCCTCTCTTTTCTTTTGTTTCTGTTCGTGGTTTTGGCGTCTTAAAAGGAGCCGAGCATCACTGTTGCTTCTTTTGACATTTCAACCATTTTCCTTTTTTTTTTGGACCCATAATTTACACACGTAGTCCAGTAGGTGCTCCGAAGTCCTCGAACTGTTAAAGTTTAAATTCTTCTTGCCACTGATGATCTCTAATACCACTATGCGGAAGCTATACACATCAGTCTTCACAGAGATCTCTCCATGTCTTACATATTCAGGAGCCATATAGCCACTGTTACACATAAAACAAATAGATCCAAGAATCATCAATGGGGAAACTGAAATTGGTGCTTGTTATCATTGTATATTTTCCTAGAAAGGTTGAAACAGACGAAGGAGCATCAGATAAGTTTATTTGAAACTTACAAAGTTCCTGCTATTCGTGCAGTATTTGCTCTACTTTGGTCCAAAACGAATAGCTTTGCCATGCCAAAATCAGTTATCTTGGGATTCATGTTCTCATCTAGCAGAACATTGCCAGGCTTTAGATCACGGTGTATGATCCTAAGGCACGAATCCTCATGAAGATAAAGAAGTCCTCGAGCGATTCCACTTATTATACTGAAACGCCTCTCCCAAGTTAATAGCATACGTTTGATTGAATCTGCAAAATAGACATCATTTGGGTTCTTAATTGTTCTGGGTTTAATGCAAAGTACTGCCAAATGGTTTGACGCAAAAATCTGTCCAATCAGTACATTAACTATCATTGAAATGGACGCGACAAATTTGAACGTCCAAGTTCGTACCAGAAAAGAATCCTTCAAGGCTTGAATTGGGTGCGAACTCAAGAATAAGAAGTCTTTCCCCTTCTTCCAAGCAATACCCAAGGAGCTTAATCAGATTTTTGTGCTGAAGTCTGACCATTAGAGTGACCTCATTCTTGAACTGTTGCTGACCTTGATTAGAACACACCTCAAGCCTCTTCACAGCAATGTCTTGTCCATTTTCAAGCTTGCCCTGCAGTCAAATTTTCATTTGCAAGAAACAACGTTTATCACCTTGTAGTGATGTAATTCCCAGATAAACATCAAAAACAAATTTCCAGCTACCCGATACACTTTTCCGAATCCCCCTTCTCCTAGCCTATTGCCTTCTGAAAAGAAATTTGTGGCAGCCCTGATCTCGCTTAGTTTGAACTATAAGCTTTCAGCAGTCTTGACCTTTCCTCTTTTGCTGAAGAAAATGCAGAGAGCATTATTTTTAATTGATTACGTTGGAATGTTCTCTTAACTCATTAAACATTTCAAGTTAATTGTCGAGAAAGAATAATGTGACGTTGTACTCCACCAATCATAGCGAAAGTGTCAGTCTTTCAAGTTGAAACAACAAAATTGGAGGGCTGTTGAAGTCTTTAGGGATTTCTTGCAATTTTCAATGGTGCAACGAATGCTTAGTCCAGCTATAATCGGTCAACCAACCGCCCGTTTCATTTCTATATATCATGTCACTTAAATTAGCAAACAACGAGGATGGTTCCTTCTTCTATAAAGCGATAATGGCCATGATGGCAAAATCCCTCAAATGGTATAAGAACATTCCACCTTCTTTTTTTTTTGTGTCTATCCTATTGGATTCAAGATTCAAGTTGAAGGAACTCGAAACTTTGCTTGTTCCATATTATGAACATTTGGGTCTATGTGAGGTGGTCCAAATTGACACTACAAAAAAACTGATTTTTTCCGACGAAATTTCCAACGAAAAATTCTGGAAAATTCGTTGGAAAACGAATTTCCAACAAATTTTCCAACGAAAAAAAATTCGTTGGTAATAGGTCGTTGGAAAATTTTCCGACGAAAAATTTCAATTTTCGTTGGAAATTTGCGACGAAAATATTTTCGTTGGAAATTTCGTTGGAAAACTCGTGACTAAATTTGTTGGAAACGAATTTTTTTTTCCGACGAATTTTTTTTCGTTGGAAATTACAAATTTTTTTTTGATCGAAAAATCGTGGAAAGTTTTTTTCCATCGAATTTTTTTTTTGGTCGAAAAATTTCAATTTCAAAAATTTTTTTTTTGGCCGAAAAATGGCCCTCGCCGGTGGCGAGGCCGGCCTATCGCCGGCGAGGGCCGAGCTCGCCCGGATCTGGGCGAGCTCGAGCTCGTCGCGCGGCGGGGCCGAGCTCCCCGATGACGGGCGAGCTCGAGCTCGCCGGCCATGGCGAGCTCGGCCCTCGCCATGGCCGGCGAGGCCGCGGGACCGGCGAGCGGCGGTTCCAAGCGGCTCACGCGGCCGAGAAAGGAAGAGAGAGATCGAGGTCGGTTGGACGGTGGCGGTGAGGCGGGATGGGTGGCGGCCTCGCCGGCCATGGCGAGGGCCGAGCTCACCCAGATCTGGGTGAGCTCGGCCCTCGCTGGCGACGAGCTCGAGCTCGCCCAGATCTGGGCGAGCTCGGCCCTCGCCGGCGACGAGGCGTCGGGGGCGGCCCATGGTGGCGTCGGGAGCGCCGACCGCCGCGGGGGCCTGGCCCTGGATGGCCGCAGCGACACCTTCGGGGACGGAGCCGACGACGCGGGGACGGAGCCAACGAAAATTGTATAAACTGAAATAATTGCCCGGAAAATTGAAATTCGTTGGAAAATTCGTTGGAAATTTCCAACGAATTTTCCAACGAATTTAAAAAATGCCGAACGGTACCGGTTTTTTTTGTAATTCGTTGGAAAATTCGTTGGAAATTTCCAACAAATTTTTTTTCGTTGGAAATTTCCAACGAATTTTCCAACGAAAATTGTATACAATGAAATAATTGCCCAAAAATTGAAATTCGTTGGAAAATTCGTTGGTTCGGCATTTTTAAAATTCGTTGGAAAATTCGTTGGAAATTTCCAACGAATTTTCCAACGAATTTTAAAAATGCCGAACGGTATCGGTTTTTTTGTAATTCGTTGGAAAATTCGTTGGAAATTTCCAACGAATTTTCCAACGAAAATTGTATACCATGAAATAATTGCCCGAAAATTGAAATTCGTTGGAAAATTCGTTGGAAATTTCCAACAAATTTTCCAACGAATATGAAAAATGCCGAACGGTACACGGTTTTTTGGAGTTCGTTGGAAAATTCGTTGGAAATTTCCAACAAAAAAAAATTCGTTGGAAATTACCAACGAATTTTCCAACGAAAATAGTATACAATGAAATAATTGCCCGAAAATTGAAATTCGTTGGAAAATTCGTTGGAAATTTCCAACGAATTTTCCAACGAAAATTGCACAAACTGAAATAATTGCCCGGAAAATTGAAATTCGTTGGAAAATTCGTTGGAAATTTCCAACAAATTTTCCAACGAATATAAAAAATGCCGAACAGTACCGGGTTTTTTGTAATTCGTTGGAAAATTCGTTGGAAATTTCCAACGGAAAAAAATTCGTTGGAAATTTACAACGAATTTTCCAACGAATTTTGTTTCGTTGGAAATTTCCAACTAATTTTCCAATGAAAATTTTTTCGTTGGAAATTTCCAACGAATTTTGCGACGAAATATAGTTCGTTGGAAATTTCCAACGAATTTTATGACGAAAAATTTTTTGTTGGAAATTTCCAACGAATTTTACTTTTCGTTGGAAAATTTGTCGCAAATTTACAACGAAAATTTTTTCGTCGCAAATTTTCGTGGCAAAAATTCAGTTTTTTTGTAGTGTGAGTAGATATTGGCAATGGTGGGGAATTGGCTCGAGAATGTGTATGATGCATACGCCAATCGATTCCATACGACAAACCCCACCCTATGGATGGAGATAGCGCAGTCGTTGAATAGTGCCCTAAAAACTGTATGTTCATTTATCCTTTAAAAAGAAATATATCCCACTGGCTTTCACTAGACCTGTCAAATACGTGGGTCGGGTCGAAAATGATCTGACCCATTTAACCCATTTTGACCCATTTTCATACAGCACAATTCTATTGACCCATACCCAACCCAACCCAACCTATACTTGACCCAACTCATATTACTAAAAGATTTCAATATTAAATCTAATTTAGAAAAACTTGTTTCTTATAAAATTTTTAAAATATATATTGCTAAAACATTGTGGACAATTTTAGTAATTTTAAAAAAAATCTTGATTTTTTAAATATTTTTATTTATTTATTTCTTTTTTTTCTTCTACGTTTGGTGACCAGCAACGGCCAACAACCTCCAGCCAACTGGTGATCGGCGACCAGCAGCCGGCTAGCAACTGACAATTGATGGTGGCCGGGGACTGGCGACTATTGATGACTAACGAATGACAATGATTGGTGACCGGCAATCTGTGACGACCGACGACTGACGGCCAGTGGTGATTGGGGGACGACCAGTGATTGGCGACGTCTGATGACAACTGATGACTGCCGAACGGCGACAATCGACGATTGATGACCGGTGACCGATGACAACTAGTGGTGACCGCTGGCTGATGACAACCGATGGTGACCAGTGACGATCAACGACTAGTGGTGACTAGTGGCCGGCTATGACCGACGGCGACTAGCGGCATTTGGCAATGACCGGTGACCGGCAATTGGGCAGTGACCCTTGCCGGATTTCCTAGAAAATATTTTTCAAATCATTCATTTTCTGAGAAACAAACGGAACCTAATTGAGAAATGTTTTTACATTTGTTATCATTAGCCTTTTCTTTTTAATTTACCCCCTCGCTCGTTCGATAATTGTAATTAGGGTGAAAAACTTGTGTTTGAACGAATTCAAAGCGGTGGTCCAGAACCGAAGTACGGGCTTTGGTTAACATCATATTTTCAATAAATAATCAAATTATTTGTGTAGGGAATACTAAACTATAAATCTTGTTCAAAAAATAATGTATGCTCAAACTCGTACTTACCTAGATTTTGAACACTTCCCCCTATTAATATATGAAATGATTCAATTATGCGCAATGGTTAATAATAAAATATATATATGTTCCCTCGAATACTAAATTTTTTTTACTCCTCTCGAATTGTTAATAATTTCATTTTACGTGATTATCATGCCCACATAGGGTCAACCTCATCGGACCTCGCCGGCCCTTGCCTTTGGCCAGTTGCTGGAGGAAGAAAGGAAGGAAATAAAAAAGAGAAAGAAAAGAAAAAAAAGGAAAAATAAATAAAAATAAAAAATTCAAAAAAATATTAAAACATTATTTAAAATTATCCATGTCAGCACCAAGCGTGTCACGTAGGACGGCCGACGTCCATGTCAATGATTTCCTATCAAAATTGACTGGATGGACTAAATTGCCATAAATATAAAATATTTATGACTCAGTTGGAAAAAAAAAATTTCTGACTAAATTGACATCATTAGTGACTCTTTTAGTAATTTTCCCTGCCCACGTAAGTGTGTTGTCGTAGATCTTGACTTATGTGAGAACAGGTTTATCTTTGACATAAGTTTGTTAGGTACTTGATTCATCACGGAAGCATTTTAAATGCTCTATAGCTTAGAAAGCACGTGATATAGAGCCTAGCTTTCGAACACTTGCCCATAATATTTTATGTGAAATATTCAATTAACACTACAAAAAAACAAGGATTTAGCTACGGAAAATTAGCGACGAATAATTTTTCGTCGCTAATTTGCGATAGAATTTGTGATGAAAATTAAATTCGTCGCTAATCTGCTACGAAAAAAAATCGTTGCAAATTAGCGACGGAATTTGCAACGAAAACTGAATTCGTCGCTAATTTGCGACAAAAGAAAATTCGTTGCAAATTCCCACGAAATCAAGAGCCGGGGAAAGGCCACACGCATCGTTCCACAGAACCCAGAAAAGAAAAAACACCCCCCCTTGCCTCAACACATAAAAAACAACATAATGTGCAGAACCATCACAAACGAAAACCCGAGCACGAGGGAACAACAAACGGCGATTCAAACCCGACACCCCCGCGAGACCCGGAATGAAAACCTGAGCTCGCCGTGAAGAACACGACGGCGCCCGGCGTTGAAAGAGGGAGGAACCGAGCAAGATTCTAGGGTTGGAGTCAAGCTACCAATGCTGCGTACCTCAATGGATTATGGATCAGTGGGAGATTGCGAGGGCGAGCCACAGCACTTTCTCTCTCTTCTGCGCCTCTGCTCTTCGCCACAGATTTGGGCGCGACGGCGAGGTTGAGCGGTAGCCATGGCGAGGCCGCTTGGCCTCCCCCAGATCTGGGCGAGGTCGGGTGGCCTTGC